TGTGTGTGTGTGGTACAGTGTGTAGGTGTGTGTGTGGTACAGTGTGTGTGTGTGTGTGTGTGTGTGTGGTACAGTGTGTGTGTATGTATGTATGTATGTATGTATGTAAGGTGTGTGGTACAGTGTGTAGGTGTTGGTACAGTGTGTGTGTGTGTGTGTGTGTGTGTGTGTGTGGGGTGGTTGTGTTGTTGTTGTTGTTGTTGTTAGTGTGTAGGTGTGTGTGTGGTACAGTGTGTAGGTGTGTGTGTGTGTGTGGTACAGTGTGTGTGTGTGTGTGTGGTGTGTGTGTGTGTGTGTGTGTGTGTGTGTGTGTGTGTGTGTGTGTGTGGTAAGTGTGTGTGTGTGTGTGTGGTACAGTGTGTGTGTGTGTGTATGTATGTATGTATGTATGTATGTATGTATGTATGTATGTATGTATGTATGTATGTATGTATGTATGTGTATGTGTGTGTATGTGTGTGTGTGTGTGTGTGTGTGTGTGTGTGTGTGTGTGTGTGTGTGTGTGTGTGTGTGTGTGTGTTGAGCGCAGCACCGTCTGCTGTTTGCAGTACAGTAACTTAAGCATACCGGTACTTTCTGTAGACGTGTCTGCCCGGTGTGTGAGTGCACTGCGCGTGTTTGGGCTGACCTCATTAAAATAGCGTCCGCCGTCCTCTTTGAGAAACATACACAACGCAGACAGACGCCGCTCACACGTGCAACAAAGGTATGAGATAGGCTTCAATTTACTTTTGATTGTTTATAATTAACTATAACAAAATATCGGCGTTTTAACCCTACGTTTATATATGTACTTATTTCTACGGTTTGCATATGAGGTGGTCCGCTTCAACAGAACGTTTGAGAGCCCCTGGTGTAGATCTAAAGGTTCCTCACCTGATCCTGCGCCTCCTCCTCGCTGGAGGCCGAGGACTCCCTGCAGCACACACAGTTGTTTCTCTCTTCTTCGTTGGTTTCCTCGCTGCTGCAGCACACACACTTCTTCTTCTTCTTCTCCTCCTCCTCCTCCTCCTCTTCGTCAGCTTTTGGTTCACCTCCTGCTGCCCCGACTGCTTTGTCTTCTTCTTCTTCACCTCCTGCTGAAACACACAGGAGGGGAAGGAACAGGTTCAAATGGGACTCACTTAGAACCAAACAATTCTGCGTTTTCTATTTTTATTATTTTAGAAATATCTTAAAATTAAGACTTTTTTAAAATTCCTTATAAAATGTGTTATTTTTATCTTTTAAACACAACTTCTCCCTGGGTGAGTGTTTACACCTTCCATTTTCACTCAGGCATAACCTGCCACCTGTAGGCTGACCAGGTGACTCACTCACTCACTCGCTCACTCACTCGCTCACTCACTGGCTCACTCACTGGCTCACTCACTCACTCACTCACTCACTCACTCACTCACTCACTCCTCCTCTCACCCGGCGTGTCTCCCAGCCTCAGCGTCTCCAGCTTGGCGGGCGGAGGGAGTTTCTGACGGAGAGGCTTGATGTTGAATGCCTGGAACACCTTCTTCTCTGCCTTCTCCAGCTCCGAGGGCTCCTCTGCTGGTTCTGGTCCTGGTTCCGGTTCCGGTCCTGGTTCTGGTCCTGGTCCGGTCTCTGGGAGTGTGGTGGCACACTGGGGGTCCTGGTCTTTGACGGGGGGCTGCAGGGCCATAGTCTCCTGCTTGCGGATGCTCTCCAGCTCCATCTGGATCTGCCTGTATTTGGACAGCAGGTCCTCGAAGGACTCGTCCCCGGCCCTCTCTGCTTTAGAGGGTCCGTGAGCCGGCCTCCTGCCCCTCAGCGGCTTCTCTGGGACCCTCGTTAAAGAAACTATTATCACACGGTTACACTCACCACACACTCAAGCTCCTAGGAACAATAATACAGATCATCACATGGGTTCACAAAGTAAATAAGGTTTTATAAAAACAGAAACAAGTAGTTCCTGAACTACAGAGGAGCAGAACCAGGTCTCCGGGTCAGACTGGAACTGAGCGTTAAATTCATTTCTGAAAGGATACGTTTTCTGGAGGGGGAGTCCTTCTTGTTACCTTGACCATCTCCGATACCGAACCGACCAACAGGACCCTCTCCTGAACCGAACCAACTATCTCCAGGTCCGAACCGAGCAGGGGGACCCTCTCCGGTACCGAACCGACCCAGAGGAACATCTCCTGGACCAAACCGCGCCGGGGTACTAGTTCCTGGACCGAAACGACCGCCTGGACCCTCTCCGGGTCCGAACCGACCGCCTGGACCTTCTCCGGGACCTAATCGGCCGGCTGGACCGTCTCCTGATCCAAAACGACCGATGGGACTCTCTCCCGGACCGAACCGACCGACAGGACCCTCTCCGGTACTGAACCGACCGACAGGACCCTCTCCGGTACCGAAGCGACCCACAGGACCGTCTCCTGATCCAAACCGACTGACAGGACCGTCTCCTGATCCAAACCGACCGATGGGACTCTCTCCGGGACCTAATCGACTATCTCCAGGTCCGAACCGACCGACAGGACCCTCTCCAGGACCGAACTGACTATCTCCTGGACCAAACCTAGACAGGGGACCCTCTCCGATACCGAAGCGAGCTACAGGACCCTCTCCAGGACCGAACCGACCCACAGGACCGTCTCCGGGACCTAACCGACTATCTCCGGGACCGAAACGACCGCCTGGACCCTCTCCAGGACCGAACCGACCCACAGGACCCTCTCCAGGACCTAACCGACCCTCTCCAGGACCTAACCGACCCTCTCCAGGTCCGAACCGACTATCTCCAGGACCGAATCGACCAACAGGTCCCTCTCCAGGACCTAGCCGACTATCTCCGGTACCGAACCGCCCCCGGCCCCCTCTCCCGCCCCGGCCCCCTCGGTTCCGGCCCCCTCGGTTCGGCACAGCCCGGTGCCTGAAGCGGCCCAGCGCCCCGTGACTCCGTTCCCAGAAGCTGGACCTCGGGCTCGGCAGAGGACCGGGGGCCGGAGGAGGTGGACTGGCGGGCCGGTCGGGCTGCCGGTGGATCGGCGGGAACGGGGGTCCGCGGTGGTACGGGGGGCGTAGGTCTGGCGGCATGTTGTGGGTCTGGGGGCCCGGCTGGGGACCCGGATGGTGAGGGGGTCTCAGTGGAGGATCTCCCGGTCTAGGTGGAGGATCTTCCGGCCTGTTCCCCTCCCCCCCCCGTGGAAGATCACTCTCTTCGGGCTCATCGTCGCAGATCTCTCCGTCCTCCAGCTCTTCCGTCCTCAGGTCCATGTCTCTCTAATCACCCGCTACTCCCTCTCTCTCTAATGTCCGCACGAGCCCCGTTACCTCGTGGGGCTGAAACCGGTAAACAGCGCGTTCAACGGACACACGGCGATCAGTCCGATCGAGCTCTGTTAGCTCAAACTAGTAGCTAGCTCTTCCAAATCTCACGTGGCATAACGAGAGTTGAGAGACAGGAAACTGCCCATATAAGGAGAAGCAACTTATTTGTTGTTATTTATCTAGTTCCTTTTAACCTTTTTTTGTAATAAATATAGTGTTTATATTTATCAATCCAGTGCTACATCTTTCATATGTATAATAGAAGGAACAACTTTTAAAAGCCAGGAAATAACCAAATAAACATTAAAGCCAATCTTCCCAATTTATATTTATAAAAATGTCAATCCCAGAATTTATAACCACTAGCGTAGTTATATTATATTTCTTATTTTAAAAACGAAATAAATAAACAATGAACTGATAAAACACACTGCGCATGCGCCACCGGAAGCTGAGTTGTCAGTTTTGTTTTGGAAGCTGACAGGCACGTGAGCTGGGGACGTCATCACGAGAGAGGGAAGAAGACATGGCGGCGGACTCTGTCCTGAAGGTAAAACCCTGTTTAGTCCTCATCTAATAACAGTGTGTGCTTGTATTACATGAGTTCCACTGAGCTGAGAGACCGCTACACCGAGCAGAGGACCAGAAGCTAGCTTAGCATCTGTGCTAACTGTTTTCATACCAGGCATCAGACTGGGGAATTACAGGGAAATACACAAACACTGTTTATTACTTATTACTGAGTCAACGGGGAGTAAGTACATTCACTCACTTACTTAAGTAACATTCAGAGGTACTTGTACTTTACTTTAGTATTTACATGTTATGCTACTGTGTACTCCACTAAGTTCAGAGGTAAATGGTGTACTTTTAGGACTTTTACTGTAACAGAGTATTCCTACACTCTGGTACTTCTACTTTTACTCAAGTACAAGATCTGAGTACTTCTACTTTTACGCAAGTGCAAGATCTTAATACTTCTACTTTTACTCAAGTACAATATCTGAATACTTCTACTTTTATTCAAGTACAAGATCTAAGTACTTCTACTTTAACTACAAGTACAAGATCTGTGTACTTTTACTCAAGTACAAGACCTGAGTACTTCTACTTTTACTCAAGTACAAGATCTGAGTACTTCTACTTTTACTCAAGTACAAGACCTGAGTACTTCTACTTTA